ACAAGCTTTACAGAACCGTACAGCATGGGTCTGCAGCTCCACCATGTGCCAGCACAGAAGAGAGCTGATTGTCTGGGGAAGATGCTATTCCAGGGAGGCCTTCATAGTCGCATGAAAGTAGCTCAGGGCCTTCTCACTACTTAAACAGCATTGCTAGGCGGGCAGCATGGCTCTGTGTGGAGAGCTGTGTGCTCCCGACCTGATTACCTGAGTTTAGTTCCCAGGTCCAACTAACTCTATGAGCTGTCCTCTGACCAGCTCCACGAGCTGTCCTCTGACCAACTCCATGAGCTGTCCTCTGACATGCTCCCTGGTAAATGCATGTTCAAATACACACACACACACACACACACCCCATGATGAATTTATTAAAATTTTTAAAAACTTAAAAGTATTAATTTAAACATTATTAAGTATTATTAATATATCTTTTTAAAAAACATTATTTATTTATCATTTATATGAATACACTGTAGCTGTCTTCAGATACACCAGAAGAGGGCATCAGATCTCATTACAGATGGTTGTGTACACCATGTGGTTGCTGGGAATTGAACTCAGAACTTCTGACAGAGCAGTCAGTACTCTTCACCGCTGAGCCACTTAATATAATATCTTGACCAGCCAAGCCTTCCTGTTCTCTTTCCCTTCGTCTGTTTGATGTTGACAGTTACAGATATAGGTAATGGAAACCTGATGACCTTGTCAATATCGACTCACCAGTCATGTTGAAATTATTCTGTCAGCTTGCTTGGTCCTCCTGATGAGCAAAAGCTGTAGCTTTCCTCATTTATAGTTCATACCTGTCATTTTTTTTTTTTAAAGATTTATTTATTTATTATGTATGAATACACTGTAGCTGTCTTCAGACACACCAGAAGAGGGCATCAGATCTCATTACAGATGATTGTGAGCCACCATGTCATTGCTGTGATTTGAACGCAGGACCTCTGGAAGTGCAGTCAGTGCTCTTAACCTCTGAGCCATCTCTCCAGCCCCTGTCATGGTTTTAACATATGTAAGGTTTTACATCTGCAAGATTGTTGCCAGTCCAGTGGCTTAATTCTTTGATTGCCTTGACATTGAGGGCTCCCAGCACAGTGGCTGAGGTTTTTCCTTGTTGGCTAGTAGGTGGCTTTACCCCACAGGTGATTATTATGTTTCACTGTGCTGGAAGACAATTTGGCATTTTCTCTGCCTATTCCCATCCTCTCCCCACCCCAATAATATAGTGCGGATAATGGCAGTTTTAGAAACCCTAAATAGCTATCATTAGGGATCATTTAAATTATGCTGTATAGATTTATCTTTACACTCAAATACTATATAATCATTAAAAGTAATGTTTCCCTTTATTTAGAAATACCTGTGGATACCTGTTTTCTGAGTTTAAAATTAACATTAAAATATGTCTGCCTGGGCTGGAAAGATGGCTAAGTAAGTGGTTAAAATCACTGGCTGCTCTCCCTGAAGATGCAGGTTCAAGTCTCAGCACTCAGTGGCACCTTACAGCTGTCTGTAACTTTGGTTCCAGGGGGTCTGATGCCCTCTCTGGCCTCCACAGGCACCAGACATACATATGATAGGCGGATATACACAAAGGCAAAATACCTATATGCATAAAAAATAAAAAAAATTAAATCATGCGTGTATGTGTATGCATGAGTTTATGTGTAGCACACATATGGAGCCTAGAGACTGTCAGACCCCCTGAAACTGGAGTTACAGGCAGTTGTGAACCAACCCTGGGTCGTCTGCAGGAGCAGCTATCATTACTCTTAAGTGCTGAGCTATCTCTCCAGCCCCGTAACATGTTTTTATTCCCTTATCTTTATATGGCTTATTATTCATAGAAACGTTTCTGTCTGTTTCTGTTTGTATTTGGAACACATTGAGATGTCCACAGCAGTCAGCTATGGCTTCCAATATGAGAGCTGATAGGACGGAGTAGAATATGGCAGTAAGACCTGGCTCTGAGTCCTGGCCCTGCCTCCTGCTCCTCTTTGCCTCCTGCTACCTTTGTTTCCTTATCTGTAATGGGCTAATGCCTGTGTTGAAGTCTTTGGGTTAAGGGCAACCAATGAATATGCCCACATCGTCCTTGATTCTTGGTACTGCTTGCTAATTGTAGTTGTATTATGAATGAGGTTCCCCTCAGTGTATTGTCTATTTCTGGACAACTAATTCCTCCCAAAACACAGGCCTGAAACAATAGTCCTTTGTTTCCCCCAGCTTCTTCTGAGGATCGAGAATTGTAGAGTGGAGTGGATTAGCTGTGGTTCCCTTCTGTGTTCCTAGACAGGATATTGGCTTCCACAGTGGCTTTTCACCTGGCTGTCAGCAGAAAGCTTTAGGTTTTGGGTCTCTCCACAGAGTGCTGACCTGCAGTTCATTGTCCCCAGAGGGAGAAAGAACCAGGCAGCCTCCACAGTGACTCTTCTCATTCGGGCTGTGAAATCAAGTAACAGCTGCTCAGCCCTGTGCTTTGCGCCACAGGAACAAGAGTGAGAATATCGGGGAAGTGTGGATGCTGTGGCCAGCTTGGAGGTGGGATTCCACACTCCGTTGGCTTTTGACTGCACTCACCCTGGATGCTAGTCTCCTAGACTCCACCTCGGCTTACTTCCTGCCTGAGCTTGTTTCCACATTACCATGTCGTAAGCCAGAGTTGACCCTCCATGTCCATTTCTGCCAGTATCCTTCTTTCAGCCACCCAGGCATACCCTAGAATTACATTGGCCTCAATGCTTTCCACATCCTGTCAGCAACTCCCATGGGGTTTTCCCTGAACATATGTCCAGAAGTCATCCCTGCTCACCGTCTACGCTGTCACCTCCTTGGTCTGTGCCATCATCCCATCCGGTTACCGCAGAGGCTCTCTCTCCACCTGCTCTCCAATCTCTGCTGTGGTCCTCCCCTTGGCTGTCTTCTCCCTACAGGAGACAAATCATGCCGTGTAGTGTTTCCCTGGTACTGAAAGAAGGAGAACCACAGGCCTGCTGCATCCCCAAGCCTTGGCTCTGTGCATGTAGCCTTCCTTTCTGGGAGTCTCCCTGATGCTCACCATGCTGCAGCCCCAGAGAATTTGTTCCCCACCGCTTCCCCTTCTGGGCCTCCTCTTGTTTCCCCCACCCCTTTGGCAGCCAAGCCTCCCAAGGCCACACAAGTATACAGCTTCTGCAAGCTGCCTGCTGGCTTCAGTCAGCTCCCATGCTTTGCTCTTTCTCCTCTGTTCTTATCACCAATTTTCCCTTTAAGCTTCTGAACATTTATTAGACCACAAGGAGGGATTCTTGTCTGTTGTATTCATTGCTGTACTGAGTGGCCTATCACATTTGCACATCTTTGAGCCATGTTACCTTTCCATGCAAATGTGGTCAGAGTTAGGGTACCAGAAACATTTGTAAGCCATCAGCACACTAAGTTATTTTTTGTCCAAGATTATTAATAAGATCCAATCACAGGGGTGAAAAGATAATCATTTTGTAGTTTCCCTTATGTGAACTGAGTTGATGCAAGTTAGGCATGTAATTAAGACAGAGAATTAAGGTCTGTACTCTGGAGAATTAGAAGGAGATGTGCTTAGAGATCCGTCTTATGTATTTCCTTTCATTGTCTATTGGACTAAGAAAACTAGTATCTATTGTGTGATGCTGTGGTTCTGAAAGGTGTGTGGTGTGGAATGGCTCAAGTTTTTCTCTAAGAGAAGCCCCTTTCTCTTAGCCATTTTCAGACTGGATACATTGTTAAAACCATCCAACCATCTGCTGACAATAGATCTCCTGAACTAATTCTTAAATGGAATTTTGCATTCTTTAACTAACAAGCCTATATCCTGTGTGTTGCCTTGAAATAGAAAAGCAAGCTGAAGGCACAGGTTAGGTAAGGGGGGCTTTGATGGCAGGAAAGGCAGAGCCAACTTTCTTATTGTAGGGGGAGTCTGACAAATTCAGGAAAGGTAGGTGCGAGGCTGTTGTGGCTTGTGGAATCCTGTTTGCTCTGTGCATATTACGGTGCTTGGTGCCATAGTCGAGGGAGGTGGACAGACCCACTGTATAAGTCAAACACCTGTACAGTAGAGTAAGATCAGGTCTGGTAGGGAAAACCACAGGGAGGGCTTGGGGAGGAAGTGTTGTCTGAAAGGTTGGAAAGGTATGAATGAGACTTTAGGGGAGAAGGCCAAACCCTGAGGCAGAGCCTCCACATTTTGAACCATCCCATTTTAGCCAAGGGAATGCTGTACTGCTGGCTCTGGAGGGCCTCGGAGCAGCTTGCCTCTGCTTCACTGAGCTGTGTCTCGGTGGAGTGGGGCTGGGTCTGATTAACGATTGATGTGGGTAACTGTGTGAGTAGAGGCTTGGAGCCTAAGGCAGAGCCGTCATCAGGTATTAAGGCACCCTTGCTCGGAGCGCCATGAGTACAGCCTGGGGCCTGCTTCTTCTCTGGGACTCTGGATGGTCATATGGTCACGGCCACTGGGATCTCTTTAGTTTAGTGATCTCTGAATTTTTGGGATAGAATGTTACTTTGGTTTTTCAGAAGAAGTTGATTCTATTGGAAAGATTTAAAATTGATGAACCCAGTGACCCACTTTCCAAAAGTGTGCAAGCTGATGAAGGTGGGCTTTCTCTGTCTGTAGCCTGTGACGCTAACGAGGCCAAGCAGCTTCTAAAGAGGTAGCCAACACATTGCAGAGATAATTCCTTCCTTCATTGAGAGGGCCAATGGCTCCCAAGAGGGGCCGTAGCACGCCTGGCTGGTTTCAGTGTGGTGGTGGAGGGGCCTTCACTGTGTTCATTAGGTACCTGACCTAGCATTCTGACTCCTCTTCCTGTTCTGCTTACCACTTGAAGCAGGTCAGGTTTCTGTCAGTCACTGTTCTCTGCAGAGGCGAGCCCTGCCACTCTGTACTGTTCAGTTGTATTTACCACAGCATACATGTCTGTTCATAGATGCTTACCAAATAATATACATGCATGTATTTCCAATTTTCTTCCTAGATTTTGGCACTGATGGCATTTATCTGCATCGAGACGATCATGGAGTGCTCCCCATGCGAAGGCCTCTACTTTTTTGAGTTCGTGAGCTGCAGTGCATTTGTGGTGACTGGGGTCTTGCTGATTCTCTTCAGCCTCAACCTTCATATGAGGATCCCCCAGATCAACTGGAATCTAACAGTGAGTACACACCAGCTGTCTGGTTGTGAGAGGATTGATTACAGCTTGGCTCTCAGGAAACATTGGCATCTCTTACCGTGTCTAGTTCTAGTTAACTTTGGTGCTTAAATATCTCCTCATAACTCATAACTCAATTTAAGTTTCCTTATTGGGTTGAGTAAAATTACACAAGTAAAGAGAATTCCTAACTTAATGGCAAAACACAATGAATCGTGTTGGTCCTTCCAAGGATGCCATTTGTGTTTACACTCAGCTGGTGGACTGGCTATGTTGTTATTGCAGAATATGGGGAAAACCAGAATTAATACATTTACGTATTTTTCAGACTAGACCATTTAAAAATATTATAAAGAGCCATTTATAAAAATACACAGTTCCTGGCAGGTATAGTGGTCCACACCTGTAATTCTAGCACTCTAAGGGCAGAGACAGAGGGCTCACTACAAGTTTGAAGCCTTCTTGATCTACAGAAGGAATTCTAGACTTACTTGCGTAACCTAATAGACCTTGTCTCAACAAACAACGAAATATTGATTTTGAAAGACTAAGAATATGCATGAAAACATCAGTAACCTAAGAGTAAGTACTGTCATGTGCAGAGCTGCTGAGGGCTGCAGGTGTGACAGAAGAGACCACTGTCGGTGCTTTGGCTTCTTAGCCCCATTTGGACCCTCTTATCAATTGGCCTGAGATGCTCAGAACTGGTCAGTTTAGTGGCTTGGAAGCTTGAATGTCTGTTAAGAAAGTGTGTTCTCAGTGTATGAATACCATGCTTTAGATGTCACATGGGAAAAGAAATGTTGGGAGGTTGCCCCAGTTTCAGTACCTTTGGATTCTTGAGAAGCTTGCCCTGATCCAAATGATATGAGAACCTTTTTTAAAAGGTGATACTAAGCCAGGTGTGCTAGTGCACACATTTTATCCCAGCACTTGGAAGGCAGAGGCAGGTCAATCTCTAAGTTCAAGTCCAGCCTGGTCTACATAGCAAGCTCCAGGCCAGCCAAGGATACTCATCAAGACTTTGTCTCAAAAAATAAAATAAAAGATGACACCAGAAAGCTGAGGGTAGCCTAGTGGTAGCGTGCTGTCTTCCGTCTGTTAAGGACCTGAGTTCAGTGCCCAGCACTGCAGACAGATAACCAAACTCTGAATGGTAAACAGGGTTGCCAGTTGTGGTTGTCACGGGTAAAGGTGTGTTGTAAACTGTTCTGCTTGCTTCCTCTGTGAGAGTGGCCCCGTGGCACTGAGCCTGGCATCTTTGGCACCAGAGAAATGGTCTTCCAGGGCCTTAGTTGGAAAGTTCTCCCATTGTTTTGCAAGTGACCCTACTTTTTCCCCTTTCTTTAGGATTTGGTCAACACTGGACTCAGCACTTTCTTTTTCTTTATTGCCTCAATTGTATTGGCTGCTTTAAACCATAAAACCGGAGCGGAGATTGCTGCCGTGGTAAGCAGTTGGGTGGAGTTTGCACCTCCTGAGACTTGCTCTCCTCTGTCCCCTGGCATGTGTCCCATTCCCCTCCTTTAGTGTTGGCTCTCCTGGCCTTGGGGGACCAAAAGATGAGGGATAGTGGGCAGACAGTAGAGAGGCATGCTCTGTATTTCTGCTTGCTGTGGAATTTGAAGAACAAGGATCACTTTTGGGAAGGGTGGGGGAGGGTGAGCGGCTCTAAGAACCATGGAAATGGGGCAAGCAACAGGGTTGAGCTGGTAAAAGGTACTTGCTGCCAAGTCTGACCTCCATCTCCACGTGCATGACACTTGCTGCCCTGTAGAAAGGGAGAGTGAGAGATGAACAAGCCGGACAGTGGTGAGACACACCTTTAATCCCAGCACTCAGAGGCTAAGGCAGGTCAGTCTCTGAATTTGAGACTAGCCTGGTCTACAGAGTAAACAGTAGGAACAGTAGGTATACACAGAGAAACCCTATCTTGAAAAACAGCAACAGCAGCAGCAGCAACAATGGAAGGAAGGAAGGAAGGAAGGAAGGAAGGAAGGAAGGAAGGAAGGAAGGAAGGAAAAAGATTAAAAAAAAAAAAAACCCTCTATAGTGGTTTTCATGCTAGGCTGGAGTTTCTGTGGGCCAGAAACTAGACTAGCTCTTACTAGAGCGTCAGCCAGATATCAGCTGCACATTGATCAGGGCTGGGGATCTGGTATTGCTGGAAGGGGCTGCACGCAGCTTGGGTCCCTGTGACAATACTCAGCTTCAGGGGTCTGGAGACATGACTCAGCGATTAAAGGTACTGTCTGTTCTTCCAGAGGTCCCGAGTTCAGTCCCCAACAACCACATGGTGGCTCACACCATCTGTTATGGGATCTGATGCCCTCTCTGGCATCTAAATGTACATGCAGATAGAACACTCATACATAAAACAAACAAGTACATCTTAAAGTGGGGGAAAACCTCACTCAGTTTCAGGGCACATGCACAGAGGAAAACTGTGGCTGTGTGTTTTAGATATTTGGCTTCCTGGCGACAGCAGCCTATGCAGTGAGCACGTTCCTGGCGGTGCAGAAATGGAGAGTCAGCGTCCGCCAGCAGAGCGCTAATGACTACATCCGAGCTCGCACCGAGTCGAGAGATGTGGACAGCCGCCCTGAGATCCAGCGCCTGGACACATGAGAGCGTCTGGAGTCCTCCCGCTGCCCTTGTGCCCGTCCTTCTAATCAAGTTCTCTTTCTCTTAGCACGTCAGATTTTTGTGTGAACCAGCTGAATTTTGTCCTGTTTGGTAAAAGTTCCCTTTGGGGAAGGTTGCCTAGAGTGACCCAGTGACTGATCTGTGGTGGGCTGAAGAGGCCCAGGTCCTCCGGCATTGGGTGCCCGTGGGAGCAGCCGACTTTATTGACTGCTCTAGGTCTTAACAACTGTCCATCTCAGTACGCACGGTCTCACCTGACTCTGAGCCACCCTGTCATGTGTATTCGTGTTGAGTCAAAACCTTATTAAATGGCATTGAGAAGGGAAGTATATGTCAGAAGACAGAAGCACAGGGATGGGACAGCCAGTGAGGTACGTGAACAGTGAGCTGGGGTCCGTGCTGAGTCTGTTAGATCCACCCTTCTTGTGCTCTGTTCACAGAGCATCCAGGCAGCCAGCATGGCCTGAGTGGGACTCTGAGGGGGTTGACGAATGGATGTGCTCCTGTAACTTCCTTGCCAGGCTTGTGTGTTACAGGGATAGGAAAAGCTAGTGTCCTATGGGGACAGCTCCATGGGACTGACTCCCAGAACAGTGACCATTTGTCTCCTGCCCTGCTGAGAAATCACTTGATTCTTCCTCCCGTTAATCACCTTCCTGTGGTCCATACTCACTTTCCAGGCTAGGGGACCATCACGTTTGCCAGGGTCCTGCCTACCTTACACATCTTGAGGCTGAATTGCAGTTTCTGCACTTTTTCCTTCCCGGGTAAAAGCTGCAGAAGAAGCAGTCCTCCCATTAGCCCAGGCACTTTGTCCACTTGCTGGCCTCATGGATCACATGTGTGCACGTGTGTGTTACAGAGTGGCACACTCAAACTCATACTTCTATTATATGGACACGTCTGATTTTCTGAATATCCAAGACAAGCTCTAAAGTGATTCTCTGTCAGTTTTTCTAGGATTTGAAAATACTTGAATCTGCACCAGGACACATCCTTCCACGGATGTTCCACGAGGCACTGCTGTCATTCTGGGCACCTGAGTGTCTTCACTATGATCAAAGTCCTGGAACATGTTAGGAATCCTAGTTACATACGGCTTTTGGATTGGTTCTTGATAAACTGAAAATTATTTTTGTGGTGAATGAGTTAAACAGCCCCCTATGATGCTGTAATTTTGTTGATAGAGACTAATTATATCTTTTTTGGAAAATTGTTTTACCATGTAAGGTTCTCACTCTGAACTGTTGATGTTTACAGATCTTGTAGCTCTAAGATTTTGTGGATAGCCTCACCAAGGAAAAGATGTGGCTGGCAGGAGGATAGCGTGGTGGGAGAGAGCCCCCACTATCTCCTAAGGACTGTTCACAGCCTTTGGTTATGGTGTCCTTTGTAGTTCATAACCCAGAAGTGGGTGCCAAGGCTGCGGAGAAGTCTGAGGAGGCGCTCCCTGTGCACCATGGCTCTGCATCATTCAGGGAAGAGCAGTGTTGTAAGGTTGAATAGCAAAGGGCGGCTATTGTCAAACACTATAGCAGGGCTCAGGAGTCCACAGGAAATAGGGTCAGCCTGTATCTGACTGGGGGCAGGGTGAGGGAGTACTAGGGACTGGCTCCCTAAACCCAATATCCAGTGTAATCCAGTTCTGCTGCAGTTCCATATTGGCAGTCGTCCAGGTCCCATGTTCAGAGGATGACCCAGGGAGTCTGGTGTACCACCGCTCCCTGCTTCTCTTCTCCTCCAGAGGGCAGTCTGGGTCTGGCCCTTGCCCAGCTCCCGGTGGAGAGCCTTCTGTTGTTGGACGTGTCGAGTTAGTCAGTCAGTGCACATTGTGCTTTACCAACCTTGAACCTGTTGTGTGTTGTGTTGTGAGGGAGTGGATGACATCTTGACTTTTATCTGTTTTACATGGTCATTTTGCATTTGTTGAGTATGTCTATATAATCAAAATTGGGCTTTCCTGCCTCAGAGAATTCCCTTTAAAATAGGGTTGCAAAGACTCGCTCTGTATCGGAATCGCACTTGGAAGGACCGCCCTGAGCTTTATCGGGTACAGGGCCTCAGCAAAAAGCCACCTTTGAAGTGAGGAGAAGAAAGAAGCATTCAGATGGGGTTTCTGCTCATTTCCCCAAGTCCCTTCAATAAACCCGTTTTATCCTGTGATGAAAGGAGGCCTTCTGAGGAAGTGCTGTCGGCTGAAAGAACTGATCCTGAGACCCATTGAGACCGTGAATACCAATAAATGGTAAAATGTGGTGGTGTCTTAGGGCCTAAGAGACTTGAGAGCAATTTGCATCTTAGTGACAGAGTCATTGTAATATTTATATCCTGGTAACTATTTAATATCCTTTGTGCTATGAAGCTTCCCCATGGCTTTGTATATGTATTTCCTTGTACTATTTAACTGGCTCCCATAGAGCCAGAAGTGGCTTGTACACATTCTAGTAGTGTGATGCACAGATGTCCTCGCCTTCCCAGCCAGCGTGGTAGGAAAAGCCATGAAGGGAATATGGCTGTCTACAGTGAATGCAAAGATGCCTGGATCTTTCCTATTGTGCCTCTGACAAACAGATTTGAGGTTTTTAAAATAACCTCTGTAAATTGAAAAAGGCATATTTTTGTGTTAAGTCTACTGTGGACCAATGCCACTTAGGTTTGGAGCATTTTAAGTCAACCTTATCAGTCTCCATTTCCTGATGGGATGGAATTCACTTTCTCAGTTGGGAACATCTGGTGCGTTCATGGAGACGTGGGGTTGAAGCCCTCTGACATTTGGTAGTTTTGATGGATATTAATTCATCTTTCATCAGAGAAAGTATATTTGGCACTGTTGTCTCGAATGGGTGCCAAATTCAATGGGAAGAATGGGTGCCAGCCACCATTCTTCTCCTCCATCTTCCCTGCCAAAGGCTCAGAGGGCAAGACTGCAGTCAAGAAAACCTAAAGATATGCATTGGCTCTAGATAGGGCAAACACAGTGAGGGTTATCGAGTTCTTTTCAGAGAAGTTCTGCTTAAAGTAGATAGCCATGCATTGCAGATTGCTTTTGTCTACAGAAAAAGCAAGAATGCAGTAAGCGCCCATGTCTTTCTTAGCAATATGCTAAAACACCAACGTGGGCAGGGCCTGGGGCATAGCAGAACCAGCAAGAATGAGCTACTCACTGAGCACCCTAGGGTCCTTCTGTAGACCCTTGGCAGGAAGACTTATGGGCAGGCCTCGTACGCCTTGTCTTCTAGTATGCCTGTGCTAGATGCTTCTGGAGAGAATTTTATGACTCAATTGAAGACATTACTTTTTCTTTTCAAGTTTCTTTTATCTTTGAAGTTTTTCTATTGGTTCAGGCAGTCTTTAGAAGAAATGAAGGTCTAACTCTCTTGTCCCTGCATGTATGTGAATTCTTGCTGTGAATGAGTCTTGGCTAGCCCTCTGTGTGACACAAACACACCTTTTCTTGTGGATTTGCATGCACTATTTGGAGGAAATCTCTTGCCTATCTAAGAGGTGGCCTGAGGATTCCACCCCGCCCATGTCAGAATCCCTGTGGGTCAGTCTTGGGAGCATGGAGATGTGTGTCCAACCTAGTAGTTATGTAGGTGGGTCCTACTCTGCCATCTGTGTTCAAAACACACAAAAGTCCCATGGTCAGTATGCTCCTGCCTAACTGCCTTTTTCTGAAGATGTCATCTACATAGAAACAGTGACATGAAACAGGTAACAGTGGAGGGTGGGGGACATATACTTTCTATGTAGAGAATTGTTGACTGATTCTCATGAGCTGAAAAAAAAATTGCTGCTTCTAGTGTGTGAAGTTTCCAGGTACCTTTTAGTTCTTCATAAAGTTGCAGAGTCTGAGGGGTTCTCTTGCTGTCTGGTTTTATCAGCGCCAGTCCCATAGCGGGGCCAGCTAGGCAGAGAGTCTAGTTTGGTGGACGCATGAAGTTTGCATGACAGAGGCCTGGGGGTGGGGGAGCAGTGGGGTGACATAGATAGTACTTGATATGTTCATAACCCCTGCTGCCCTGGAAACATGTCCTTAACCTCCCCCTCTTCAGAAGAGTGAGGTCTTCTGTGCTCCTGAATGGACTTGAGGGCAAGGGCTGCATGTGGAGACCAGCATCCTTCAGTGCCGGCATCTAGTCTGGGTCTGAGCAGGTGACAGATCTGCTCAGGGGCATGCAGACATAACAGACCCCTTCCCCGGACCTTGTTAGCTTTTCTGACTCCTTAAAATCTAGTTTCTCTCTTCTCAGCAGACGTCTTTAAAATAATCAGTTCTGTCTGGTTGAGAAAGTAATTTGAAGTGTCTGACCTATCAATGTTTATGTAGACACTATCTGAATGAAAAGGGCATCAGTGTTAGGTCTAGAATTTTCTTCTAAAAGGGAATGTTCTGTTGGATTTCAGGCTAGTCAGTATAGCATTGGGCATACGTTCTCAGGCTTTGGGACTCCCCCCCCCCCTCTAGTTTTCTCCTAAGAGTAAAGGGGTGGAGGGCACAAGCCCACTGAGCTCAGAGCACTAGCCACTGCACAGAATCAAATGTAGATCATAGGTTCTTGAACAGTGCATTTGTCTCATTAGTTTACTTCGTCTCCCTCTTTATTCTGATACTTTAATTCAGGTGAGCCTCTGGTTAGGGGTTAGCATCACTTGGACTGTGGCAAGCTAGCAGAATTGTTTGGCTATGATTATGGTAAGAACCTGTCTGGAGCCACGTCAGGAGTAAGAGGTTTGTTTTCTTTCATAATTGTGTCTGATACCCCAGCGGGAAGTACCTGGCCCCTCCTTTTTTTAATCAGAATAGCTACTCAAGGAATCTTCTTGGAGAAAGGACAGTGAAGGAATACATGTGCTCACTCCAGTCCAAGACAGGGCCAGGCCTGCCCGACACTGCTTTCTTCCACTAACGGGGCTTTGCAAGTTACAAGACCCTGCCCCATTTCCATGCACTGAAGAGTACAGCGATTCAGGGCTTAAAGAATTGGCTAGGTCAAGGGGTAGAGAGGGCGAGAGCAAGGCATGTTGTAACCCAGGCCCACCTGTTCCAACTCTTTCATAACTTGTTTATGAAAACAATAGTTTTCATTCATATATAACTTGTTTAAAAACTAGTTCAAATAATAATAATGACATTGACCCATTTGCCTAAAATCATTGCTTCTTGAAAACTTGGCTTTGACATGGTTCCATGTGGAAGAATGCTAGGGAGTGACGCTGTCTGTGTGTGCTCAGTTTGTAAGAGCTTAGGAACCCATGGGAGAAGCACTAAGCTATTTATTTGTCTGTCCTTTTTTTCTTTCTAAGTAGGCAGTTCTGTCTGTGTATATTTTGACAAATAACCACTTCACCTTTGGTGCCTTCCATGTGTCACATAAGCACTCTTGTCAATCATGGAATTGGGGCGGGATGTACATTTAGTTAAAACAGATAACACTATTTTTGTAGCATGATTGTGTCCTTTCATATTGCTTTCCACCCTATCAGTCCTGACATTTGGGCCATTTCCTCTTAAACTTCCTATGTATTTTTCAAAACGATCCCCTCCAGCTAAGTCCTGTCTGTCCCTTGCACTGTGTTCCTCCCACACTGCACTTCTCCTGGTTAGTCTGAGAGTCAGAGGATAATTCTGAAAACAGTCCCATTCTTGTCATTCTGTTTGACACTGTTTTGACAGTTTGTTAGGCTGGAAGAACTGTTGCTCACCAACAGTGAGAAGAAAGTGGTCTCACTTTTCACAGGTCTCAACCATGCACCGCCTTCCTGCTTGCTGGGTCCAGTGAGAGCTTGCGCTTGGCTCCTGGCCCTCCCATCCCAGCCAGTCAGTCCCACGCTGTTGTCTGGCTAAGCGCCACTGTGTGCTAGCAGCACCTCAGCTTTGCTCTGTGATTCCTCCCACTTGGATTTAGGTAGTGTTTCGGATGCTGCTGGTTGGTTTCTGGGCAGCTTGAACGCAGTAGGTCCTGTGCTGTGGAGGGCTGAGGGAAGCCAGGGCACAGGGTAACATAGCCACCCATTCTGTTTTCCTGACCCTGCACTTTGGAGTTGTCTGGTCAGGAAACAGTCACTGAGCCATTGTTGAGTAAAGGTACGGATCCTCTGAGACATGAACTTCTTTGAAGAGTCAAAACATGTAATTCTGTGACAACAGAAGTCATCACATGACCGAATGACAGCTTTCTGCCAGGATCGGCCACTGCCACTCCATTTAACTAGTGGCACTCTTGGGAGACAATGTTAATAGTGACCACATTTTGTTTCTTGAGTTGGGTTTTTTTTTCTTTGAGGCAGGGTCTGGCTTGGTAGTCCTGTCTGACCTCTAACTTAGAACAATTCCCCTGTTTCTTCCTCCTAAATGCTGGGATGGTACACAGAAGTGGACCACCATGCCTAGCCAAAGTTTGGCATGGAAATTCCAAATGTAAAGGCCATTCAAAAAAAAAAGTCTTTAATCTGTGTTGTCTGCAGTCCTAAGCTTCCCATCCTGGCCCATCTGACACTGCTGCCTGGATGGGCCTCCCCTGACTCCCGGGTTTGACCCTGTGCATTTCAAATGATGGGGGAGCCATGGCATTTGCTCCCGTTGATTTGTCCGACAGTAGGCAAAGCCTCACACTGCCCTCAGCCTCCCCACTTTCCTTTGAAGGACCAATTTTTCATGGTACTTGTCTTGATTGTTTTCATATTGTTCAAATCTGTATTTTTGTATGTAGAGGGAAATAATTTTCTCAGTACTAATCACTAATGAATACTGAATTGTCATGAAGGAGTTCTTGTTTAATAAATGGACATATAAAAAGTGTTTTAGTCTCTTCTTTCTCTCCCAAAGGCTTTGGGCCCCGCTTTTGCAACAAGCTTGCCCCGTGGAGGTGAGATGGAGCATCGTCAACAGGCTGCAAGCAGATTGTAGAAGGACTAGCCTGCTAGACTGTGGGGCATTGCACAGCCTCTCTGCCTCTGCATATCTGACTGCTCACAGTGTGCTTTTAGTTCAGTGACAGTGACCAGAATGTTTTCCTGTTTCCCATGTGCTTGGGCCAGAATGCTGACTTAGGGTCCTCATAGCCACTGCTCTGAGGTCCCTTACTCAACTAGTTTCTAAACCATCAAGCCCCACTTTTTGGCTGCCACAGGACACCATCCTAACTAGAGTGTATGCTTACCCTTTAGTGCCTCGACTGCAGGATTGAGTAAAGGCACCAGCAGTGGTCACATGCTACCCTGATGCCCAGGGGAGTAAGTAGTGTCTTGCTCTGATGCCAGAGCTGCCAGGACTTGCTGTGCCTGCTTGTATGGAAACAGGCAGTTACTGCACAGTGTGTCTGTAGGCAGTGGGTGGGTTCTGAGTCAGGCGCACTCCAAGCATATAGTCAGTTTGTTTTAATCTATTGTGGTTTTTTGTTTGTTTGTTTGTTTTTGTTTTTTTAGGGAGGGGATTCACATGCAAGACAAGAAGGTTACAAATGCCCAAGACATGGGCCCAGAACTCTGGCTCATTCGTGGGGCCTTTTAGGTTACAGAAAAGGCCATTTGTTACATTGTTTTTGTATAAAAAAAATATAAAAAAGTTAGAAAACACCATCAAAGACACATACACAGTATCAGCCCCCAAGCGAATACAGAGAAGGTCCATGTCACCAGTGGACCTGCCGAGGTGTCCAGAGGAAGCACTTAGCTTTTTAGGATCCCCAGGAGGCAAGTGCTTGGCTGGGCCCGCCCAGCCACTTGTGACTTGGTTGCTGCCACTGTACTGGTTAGTTCCCTGTCTGTGGGCCCTGGTAAACAAATCTTTGGGTTCCTTTCTGAAAAGGTCTCAGACCCCTAATGGAAGTCTTGGCTAGCTAGGTTTCTCCCTGTTTCACAGTGAGGAGGGAAGCTTCTTGAATAAAAGATTCCTGAATGTCATCCAGCGAAGTGCAGGGGGTGAACAGGAGAGCTCGGTGCGGGCTGTGGTTTTGTCTGTCCCTGTTAGTAAAGGGAAATCCCAACCCGCCCCATGCTGCCACATGAACTGCTGTGATTGGCTCGGTTTGATGTGTGCTTCTGTGGGGCTCAAGGACAGGAAGAGAAGGAAGGACAGTCAACGTGCCCTACCATGCTAGCTCAGCAGTGCCAAGCCACAACAGCCAATTTTGTTGTGAGGCCTCAGGAGTGTAATCTCGAGAGATCGGCTCCTCAGTCTGCTCTCTCATGGGCATTCCCTGCCACGCTCCTGTAGCCTCATCAGGACAGCATGGGTGAGGGGACTGAGTGGCTCCAGTTGTCAAGCACGGACAGGCCTTCAGTCAGAGTCTGAGTCAGAGTTGGAGTTCTCTTCTGAAAGGAAAGCAGAGGGTGCTGACACTAGTCCCTGGGCTGTGGAGTAGGGATGGGGGGGGCACCACCAGACACCCAGCAGAAGACCTGGGCCCGGCCTCTCCCATCCTAGTGGTAGGCTGGGCCTTGGGACACAGGTAGGGTAGGGTAGGCACTTCTACTTAGTCCAAAGCCCAGATGCTTCCTTCCCAGGTGGTCCAGGCATGCCCCAGACATCCCCGATCCCCTGAGGATGTCAGAGTAGTACACCTGTACCCCTTTTTCCAACCTCATTCTGTAGGACAAGCAAAGACAATAATTCTTATCCCTGAACTAAAATACACGGAACCATGGGGCAAGCCTTTTTTTTTTAAAGCTACTTCATGGGTTTAGCTGTTTATAAAGATTATTCTGGAACCCTCTGCCTCATAAGGCACTGTACTCTAGTGCCTGCCCCTAGCACTAGTGGCCGTTTTCTGATACTTGCCATGCCCCTTCCCAAGCCTTGGTTCTTCCCCCTCATCCATTAGCCAGAGAGGTACAAGTAGGACAGGCTTGTTATATTCATATTTAGCATATAGACCAAGGATACTTTTATTGCAAAACAACTATTTTACATCAAAGCCACACAACCTTCAATATGTATGTCCATGGACATTTATGCTCTGATCCCTGAACCAGCTGATCAATATTTGCTATAAGTTCCAAAGGCTTGAAGACTGACTGCATCCAGGAGCATGTAACTGACAGACCAGACATGAGTTTGGAATGGTATTCATTTTGTAGCACTGAGACAGTGTCTGGGACTCCCAATGGGAAGTTGGTGACCCCTAAATCTCACCAACTAGGTCCTATATCAGGCATTTAGTACTTAATGGAGACGCTTCTGTGGCCCAGACCCACCCTGAGCAACTCGTGTCTAGCCACGGCACTGCTGACCTGTTCCAGAGACAGGTGCGCACACTTTGGAAAAAAGATCCAATCAATTTAAGTAAGGGTTGCCATGAGTTTGTGAAGTTTGCTCACTTTGTGCAGCCTGGGATACAAAGTGAGTTCTAGGCCAGTTTAAACTATACAGGCTGAAGTCCCTTTGCAAAAAACAAACTCAGCCCAAACAAAATCCAGGCCAGACTGCCTGTGTTTGCCTGGGTGCTGTGAGCTTCCAAGCAGCAAAGAAGCCAGCTCTAGTAGGCTGGTCTCAGAGGAATTGATGTCTTGACTAGCTGCCCTGAGGGCATATTAAGGAACCTCCGAGATGCAGGTATGCACCCACTTTCCCCTCCTGCTAAGATGGGGCCCTAGAAAACTAACTTTGACAGTGAAGGGTTATGACAGGTAGTCTGTAAAACACTTTGCATATTTCTTTAAAACGAGGCATCCCCAAGGAAGGGCAGAACCCTACAGCTGCCCTAAAAGTGGTCAGCTCGGTTCTTTACAAGAAACCACACAGATTGGCCACTCACCTTCTGTCCTATGGGCTGTGGTCTCATTCCCAGAGTCTCCTTGCTTGAGGAACTTGGCCACTTCGTTAAAGATCAGGTAGAAGTCAATTGCGAACACAATAGTGGCAAAAAAGCCAAAAACCTGTGGGATACATGCATGGCATATGGCAGGGGACACAGACAGGATGGCTAGAAACATTGCAAGGTCCTCTGGGCTCACAGACCAGGAGCCTGGGCATAAGCAAGCAGCACTGAGAAATGTCCCGACCAGGACAGATGGGCAGGCACAGCCCTTGAGTTGTGGAGTATAAGAGAAATGGGCGGTGGGCCTGTTAGATACCAACCTCCCACCTGAGGGCAGAGTAAATCTCTAAGTAGCAGGCTGGAATGACAGAGACCCACACAGGGACCAGGGCCTAGGCAGGGGCAGGATGCGCCGTTTCCACTGTGAAAGTGGGCACCAAGGGGGATGATCTGGAGCACTGGGAGGGATTCTGCTGGGTATCATCAGAGAGGAGTAGGGCGGCCACTCACGCCAGCTGCTTTGAAAGCCCCATCTGAGTATTTGGCGACAGCAGTGATGGAGATGACGAAGTAGATGAGGGCAGCCGTGACACAGCGCAGGAAGTCCTGAGGAGAGAGGGGCATGTCCACACTGTTCTGACCTCTCACAGTGGGGCACAGCATGGGGACCCAACACCCCCAGCCCCAGCACCCATGGAGTCCATGTCTTGGCCCTGAATCTATTCCTCATGTGCCTCTTGTCCTGAAGGTCTCCAACTTACACTGCCCTGTCCCTGGTCCAGCTGTATTTTCTCTGCAAATAGCAAATGGGTATAGGCTGGGCTACAGCTTGCTCTGCAGAAATGGGAAGTGGAGACTATCTAGTTCCCCAAGAGTCTTGGCTTTGTCACAGTGAGATCCATTTATGTTCACAGTCTCTGCCTGCTCCCTAAGGTGAGGCTGCAGTGTGGGTACCAGGTGTTTCCATGGACACTGGAGATTCAAGTCTAGAGAGCAGGGTTCGAGTCCCATCTTTTGTGCCTTTTCTCAGGGATGCATTTTAATCCATTAAAGGGCACTCTCTCAGGACTGCAAGGTCTTCGAGTGGTCACACAAAGCCAGGTGTCAGATGACTAGACTCTAGGAAGTCCCAAGTCCTCAGTTACCCTATCCTGCTGGAAATGGCTTGGATGCCTGTGGGTGAGACACATTCCTCCTCCGAGGTCAGAGCAACAGCTCCACCTGGTGGTCAGGAGTCATCCTTAGGTGCCCAGCTTCAGGGACCAGCTAAGGAGACTCCAACCACCCATCAGGTCCAAGGTCGCAGGGGTGAGGATTATCCGAAGCTTTCAAACTGCTCACCATTGCTGGTGATAGTAGGGCTGAAGTGTGGATCCCCAGATTCTTCAGGTGACAGCCAACCCTTTCCTCTTGGGTCCCCTGATCCTTACCATCATGGGCCAGCACAAGCCCTGCCACTTGTCATTCAGCTGCATGGCATCAGCAAAGAGGAAGTAAACAGCCAACAGAAACTCCAGCAGAGGCACTGTGAGGAAGGCAGATGCGGAGGACACCACGTAGCAGATGAAGGTAATGAATGAAAGACCCTGCGGGAGAGCAAGGAGACTCAAACCCTCTTACCACCCCCAGTCCAGGACCTTGAGTCCTATACCTTGCTGAATCCCTGCTAGGACCTCATCTGGAAGCTCCAGCCTCCCTAGCAGGCCACTTGTGGGGCTTGCTAAGCTCTTTTGGCTCGATGACAGAACATAGCTGTGTCCACAAGGGGGCAAGCCAGAGCTAAAATCTACTTTCAAACCGTCACACCCAGCACCCAACTATGACTACCCAACTTCTTTAATGATGATGTGCAGAAGTGATTGAAGTTGAAATGTACTGACATCTACAGTTGAGTTTGAATGGTTGAAAGCACAGGGGAGGGGGATGGAAACGGGTGATAGAGCGGGCCGAGCAACGTTAGCCTCTGTACAATTCAGGTGGGGGATGTAGGGGTGTTGATAGAAACTTTTGCCACTTCTGCATCTGCACATCTTTATTGAAACAACAACAGCTATGCATGAGGCTGGGGGTGCAGCTCAGCTGGTAGAGTACTTGTCTAGTGCACACAAAGCTCTGGGTTCGATCCCAAGCACTGTATAAACCAGGCATGGTGGTACAAGGCTGTAATCTTAGCACTTGGGAGGGAAAGCAGAAAGATCAGAGGTTCAAAGTCATCCTCGGCTTCATAGCGAAGGTTTTAGGCAGGCTGGGATCCATGAGCCCCAATCTTAACAAAATCATAACTCTCAGAGAGAGTAACTGACACTATGAGAGTACTATTCATAGTCTATATGAAAGGTGGGGCTAGCTAAACCATTTTGACGGGAAGCCTGGTCCACCAAACTGTAGGTATGGAGGATGCTAAGGCTGTTGGTTAGTACTGTGGACCTTGTGCATGGCAGGGAATCAAGATGAAGAAGATAGGTCAGTGGCTTTTCAAGCCCAATCCTTGCTAAGGTTTCTGGACTTCTCGGCTTCTGAACGCCACTTGTGTGTGCCACTCACAGCCTATCTTTAAAAGAAGCAGACTTAGTGTTACCCAGCTAGTAAGAGGGCATCAGCATCTGTACTTAGGGCATTAGAGGCCTTCATCCCCCTCCATCTATCACTATGGATGGTTCCCCCTGTGAGCTTACCCCGTACCCTTCCTATTTTCCTAGGCCTGGATTTCTGGCACCCAGCTAGGACAAGGACTTCTTGTGAGTTCTGGGTGGCACTCCTTTTCCACGAAGGGGTACTGGGTAGGTAGGACTGAAGCCAGTGGCCAGTGGATTCAAAGACTCCCCCCTCCCCACACCCCAAGAGGCTTCCAGAAATCTGAAATGGCCAGAGAATGGGCTCTAGATCCGCTTAGTATCTCACTTAGGAACAAAGTGTTAGGTTCTAAGGGTGACCTCAGAGTGGATGCCTCCTTCATAGGTCCTGGGGTACAAGGGAGAGGTCCTAGGGCAGACCTCCCCCCACCCCCATCTACCCTCAAGGCCACTTGATGAATCGCCTGTTAAGTTTCCTAGCGGTTAAAGATTCTCTTCTACCCCCGACTCGAAGTGGGAACAGGTCGGATATTAAGTTGCTAGGGATCTGAGCAACAAGTGGCTGTCACCATGGGCTGTTTCCTTCTTCCATCGTCCCTCCTCCTACCCCTCTCCCCATCTCCATAGGCTGCACGCCAGTTCCCGCCCCACACGTGATGATGCCGGAGTGTTGGGAGGACAAAGGAGACCTTCCTATCCGGGTGGGGACAAGCAGGGAGGAGGAAGGAGTACAGCCCCGGAGGGAGGAAGGGCATGAAGTCACCCCGTTGGCTCGCCACCCTGAGACAGTCGTCTGCCTGCACCTTCACTACGTGGCCCCGGCCTCACCCACTCCCCGGGGGCTCATCCCACTCCGCAGGATCTTCGCCCCACAGGCGGCTAGGTCTCACCCGAGGAGGTGGGAGGCTGTGCAGAGCAGCGGGCAATGCCAGAAAGAGCCGAGCGAGCGCAGCAGTCCGGGGGACCCCGAGAGGGCGGAGACGCTCGAGGTCACACAGCAGTCGAGCTGTGAACCTCTGGTCCCTTTCGAGGGCCTCGCAGGCTGAAGAAGCTGGGAAGACCACCGCTCTGGCCAGAGTCTGACTCGAACTCTGCTACAGAGAAGCCGTAGCAAGCTTGGGGGCGGTGGCCCAAATTCACGCGACTCTCCTGGGTTGGAGATGCAGGGCCCGGGGCTGGGGCGCGGGGACCGGGCTTCAGGCACCCGGGGAGCACGCGTACTCACCGACTCCGCCAGCAGGAGGCGGCCTTTGAGAGAGCAGAGGAAGGCGCGCGCGGGCAACAGGGCTCGGAGCCCCGGCACTGTCCTGCCACTTCGGGAGCCGTGCGCGGACTCCGGATCGGGCTCAGGCTCTGCGTCCGGGGGCCACATAGCGGCGCTCTCTGGTCGAGCCTCGGCCTCACTGCCTCACCCACCGCCCTGGAGGGAAGCGGAAACCCGCTGTGCGGAAGAAGAAAAAGTGGAGTTTAGCCTAGGCCTGGGACTCATCCTCCTCTGCCCCGCCCCCCACCTCCCTCATCCCCACCCACAGCTGCCCCTCGAACCCTGCCCCGCCCATCCTCCCTCCGTCCATTCTCTGCGCAGCCCCCGTGTTCTTGGGACGCTGCCTTACCCATCGGTCTTGTGGATCCTCCCCATCTCCGCCTCCCCCACTGTCCCTCTGACTTAGTCCTGCCCATATCCTGCTCCATCCTTCCAACCACTCCTCATTGCCCCTCAGACCTAGTCCAGTTTGTCTCTCTCCGTCTTCTCTATTTCTACTTACGTCCTCTGCCCCTTCACTAGCCCTAGGATCCTCCCCTGTCCCTTGTCCTTGCATTCTCAGTTCCCCATCGATCCTGTCCCGCCCACCAACCCTGGGTGCACCCTACAGTCCTTCCGACCCTGCTCTGATCACTTCCCCACCCATGGATCTTTGCACCACACTGCCCCTCCGATCATCCTTGGCCCTCTATTCTCCGGTCACTTCTCATTCTCCACCACACCCATCCCCAATGCTTCTCCCCTCATCCCATCCCGGTCCTTTTCTCTGCCCAGTCTCTCACATCCTCCTTTACCTGCCCCGGCTATCTACTCCCCCATTCTCCCACCCCTTCCCATGCTGCCTCCCCACTTCCCCCACTCACTATTTCCGCTCCGTCCCACCCCCTCGGATTCTGTACCTAGGTCTTCCCAGTCCCCTCGGACCCCAGCTGCCTGGCTTGCTCTCTGTGGCCTGCTGGCCTGGAGTCTTTTGTCGTTTGTCTCCTTACCCCGTCCTGGCTGACACAGATCCACTTATCTGACCTGAGGGCTCCAGAACTTCGATCACCTGTCCCTGCTCAACGTTTCTGCTCTTTAAACGCGAAATAACTTTCTGCCCCTAGGCACTTTCTGAACCTAGACAACTCCAGGACAGAGACCCCCGCCCAGTCCTCTTCAGGCTTGGCGCTAACCAGGCGAGATCAGTTCTTGCAGAATGCTTTCCCTCTCTTGGCTCCTCTCAGAATTTTCCTACTTCCCAGGCCACCCTCCCGCTAGTCCTTGGCTTGCCATCTTCCTCTTTTATTTTACAGACCACACTCCTGTCAGGCCTCAGTTAGCCCGTCCTCCTTCCTGCCCTCTTTTGTTAGTTGCCCCAGGCTTGGATTCTTTCTGTGCCAGACTAACCAGAAGTCTGGAATGACCCTTGTTCTCCCCCACCGCTAGCCCATCAGGGATGCTCTCTTCTTACCACTAAGTCTGCACTCCTATTGTGAGGCTCTTTAAGGGGCCGCTGCTTCCTTCCTTGTCAGACAGATAAGCTTAAGTCACTAGTCATGCTCCCTCCCACTGCGCCCTCAGGAAAATTGATGCTTCCTTTTGCCACGGGAACTTTGTACGTGTGTCTCTTCTAACCACGCCTGTGTGGTGTGTGTGTGTGTGTGTGTGTGTGTGTCTCGGCGCGAAAATTCTCTTGTGTTTGGGTGCTGATAGAGACCAGGGGTGACTGTAGCTGTCTTTGGCTACTCTGTGGGTTCTTTCTTCCACCCTTCTCCATACCTTTCCCACTACACTTTGAAGCCCCTAACACTAAATAAGAGCCGAAAAATGGATAGAGAGGAAAGGAGAAAGGAAAGAAATCCCTGAATAAAGTCAGGGGTTGAAAAGGGTGACATTATTATTAGATCTTCGTGCTGATTAAGAGTTCCTTGAGGAAGCCGGGCGGTGGTGGCGCACGCCTTTAATCCCAGCATTTGGGAGGCAGAGGCAGGCAGATTTCTGAGTTCGAGAGTTCGAGGCTAGCCTGGTCTACAAAGTGAGTTCCAGGACAGCCAGGGCTACACAGAGAAACCCTGTCTCGAAAGACAAAACAACAACAAAAAGCACACACAAAAAACCCTTAGAATATTCCTGTGTTTTCTATAGAAAACAAAATTCCAGAATTCTCACAGGTGATTCTTCATATTATTTCTTGAGACAATATCTCATTGAACTTGGAGCACATGGGATTTCCACAAACTTTCTTGGTCAATGAGCCCCAGATGTTCTGACTCTGCCTTCCCAGAACTAGCATTGCCACCATATGGGCTCGAACTCAGATGCAACTGAGGTCCTCATGCAGCAAGCGTGTGATTGATTGTATGAGCCATCTTTCCAGCTTCCACTCTGTCGTCTTAATCTGAGGAAGACTTTCTCTACTGATGGTAAGGCAGTGTGTTTTCTTCAGGCAGACGTTCCTTATATTCCTTTGTACATTCAGAAGCGGTACAAGAAACCCAGGATGTGAAGAAACCCCAGTAGTTTAGGGTAGGGGTCAGGCTGCACCAGGTTAGCCCTGAATAAGATGAGGTCTGGCGTGGCTGGAGAGATGGCTAAGCTGTTAAGACCAGCAGCTGCTCTTTCAAAGGTTCCCAGCACCCAGAGGGCAGCTCATCTCCATCTCCATCCTTAACAGTTCCCAGGTTGCGGGGGGGGGGGGGGGTGGGGGGGGGGGGTGGGGGTGGTGGTGAGAGGGGGAAGTGATGGCACCCCCCCTTTTGGCGTCTTTGGGTACTGCGTGACACGTTACACTCATAACCATGCAGATAGAACACATAGTAAAATAAAAAAATAAAAACAGGACTGCAAAAATGGCTCAGTAGTTCAAAACTCGGTTCCCAACCATCCCCGAAATTAACGAAATAAGAATAAAAATAAAAATGAAAATGAGTCCTGGGACTTACTGGCTGGTTTAGAGGACAGCTAACTAGCATTAAGATGAAATTGGTTCTGTCTGGGGCAGGACTTAGGAGGATGAGACTCTTGTATGCAGCCTTTACTCACGGTACCCAAGGAAAACATGTGGGAATTCTAGGGCCTCACTTCTAATCTATGTTGTTAAAAGTGGCTGTAGGGATGGAGAGACGGCTCAGCAGTTAAGAGCACTGGTTGCTCTTCTAGAGGTCCTGAGTTCAATTCCCAGCAGCCACATGGTGACTCATGACCATCTGCAGTAGGATCCAATGCCCTCTTCTGGTGTGTCTGAAGACAGCTACTGTGTGCTCATATTCATAAAATAAATAAATCAGTACCCATGTAATGTCCAGGCCGTTTCCCTCGTGTTTTTAAGTACAGCTCCAAGGAGGGTACAGACAAGATCATTAGGGCTTGTTGACTTACTTCCATCCTAGGGAAGAAACCAATATCCCTATATCCAGGGAGACACTCTGCCTCAGAGAATAGGTGGGAAGTGATAGAGAACAAAACTTGAAGCCCCCTTTTGGCCTCTACATGCAGAAGCACACATACCTTACACACATATATGTACCACATTCACACATACAAAGGTATGTGTGGTAATTTGAATATGTTTAGCCCATGGAAAGTGGCATGATTAGGAGGTATGGCTTTGTGGGATATAGGTATGGCCTTGTTGGAGGAAGTGTGTCGCTATGCGGGTGGTCCTGGAGGTCTCCTCCTCCGAAGCTCGGACTCCGCCCAGTACAGAAGAGAGTCCCTTCAAGGGTGTGAAGATGTAGAACTCTCAGCCCCTTCTTCAGCACCCTGTCTGCCTGCATGCTGCTATGCTGCCTGTCATGATAATAGACTGAACCTCTGAACTGTAAGCCAGCCCCAATTAAATGTTTTCCTTTCTAAGAGTTGCCTTGGTCACGGTGTCCCTTCATAGCAATGGAAACCCTAAGACAGTATGTATGTGCGCAAATAGAAAATAAGCTGAGACTTTTGAAGTCCTTAGCTTGTGACACTATTTTGAAGACTGTGAAGCCTTTAATGGCTGGGCCCTGATTAGAAGAGGGTCACTAGGGGCTGATTTTTGAAGGTTGTAAATACCCCCTGGTTTTAACTGCTGTGCTCTCTGCTGCCACAGGCTCCCACTGCCATGGCTTCTCCCCTATGATGGACTGAAATCTCCCTGAGACCAGGAGCCAAACAAAGTTTCCTTCTTTTAGGTTGGTTTTATCAAGGGCTTTGGTAATGCAAAAGCAGGACTAAACATAAAGGCATGCAATGGGACACCAGTACATTTTAGCCTGCTGAAATGGCTAAAAGGTGTGTGTGTGTATTCCCAAAAGACTTCTACTATCTGGGGAGGAAGTGTTCAAACATGTGAGCCTATGGAGTTCATGTTCATGATGGTGGAGGAGAGGTAGCAGGTGACAGGCAACAGGAGCTGCAGCTGAGAGTCCCTTGGAGATGGAATGAGTCTTTTGAAACCTCAAAACCCACCTCTGTGGCACAAACATCCTTCCCAAGTAGATCCACTAACAGGGGACTCAGTATTCAGACATATGAGCCCGTGGGGGCCATTCTCATTTGAATTACCTGGGAGTTTGCAGGTACAGCTAGACTGGCTATCCCCTGCATCAGCTACTCCCCCTCATCTTGCTGGGGTCTGATTTACTATTAACTATATGCTAAGTTCTCTTTGCTGCTGACGGCCACTCAAATGGTTCTGCAATCGCTCTTAAGTTAGCTTCTCGCTAACAAAGGTCTGTGGCTTGTTCTGAAATAGGTGGAGGTTTCCTTACAAGCAATCTCTACTTCATGTGTTAGAGTTAGCTGCACATAAAATATGCACATGTGAAAAGACAATACATAGAACCTTACTCATGATCCCCTAGGACTCACTGACCCAGAGCCTTTCTCTCTTACCTAGCCTGTTTGGTTAGCTTAACCCGGTCTGAGCTCTTTTAGTCATCCTCTCATGTGACTCAGACTTTGCTGTCTCGGCTCTTACTTTTCCTTTGAACCCTAGTTTGCATTTTCACAGCAACACAGGTGAACAACCTGCAGTGTTCCTCTGAGGGGGACTTTCCCGTGAGAACTCTCGTATCAGTATGGTACGTCCATCTTGTGTCTGGCTTCTTTTGCTCAGTCTTCGAGGATTACTCGTGTTATTCTCCTAGCTGGTAATTCTTTATACTACCAAGTAGTGTGTGTGTGTGTGTGTGTGTGTGTATAAAACACAATTTATCTCTTTTAGAACATTAGGCTCTTTCCAGGCTGTTGTCTGCTAGGAATATTTTAGTATACCATTACTCTTGGCCAGGTAGGTACCCAGGAGAAGCATTCATGGTTGCCCAGAAGAAGAAACAGTATGGGCAACTGTATCGAGATGCCTTCACTCCTGGAGTAGGAATGGGTATTCCCAGGATCTAGGTCTTAATATCAGATGTTGTCTCAGTCTCTGGGGAGATGTGAACAAATGTGTATTCAGCCTCGATAGGTCTCCAATGACAGACCAAAACAATGATTCACCTGACACCCAACTTGGAGAACCAGTGAATTTACTGTGCTTATTCTCAGAGTGATGGGTGAGGGGATGTATACCAGTAGCCTGGATCACTTAAAGCCACTGTATTACTGAAAACCCCACCCCAGCATGTCTCATGGAGGCTGCTATTCCAGAGATGGGAAAGTCATCTATGGAAGGCTTGGCTACTTGAAGAGTCTCCTTGGCCGATGATTGTTCACTGCCTCTGTGACCTTGGGGTAGGGACTTGGTGAATTTTGTCAAGTCTCAGCTTTCCTGGACTGGATTTTGTTTACCACCTAGGTCTCAGGAGCATTTCTCCTCCTAATGTTCTGAAGGAGGGGATGTTTGTCTCAAAGATGTCCTGGCTAGTTTTATGCCAACTCTACCAAAGTGTCTGAGAGGAAGGAACTTCAATTGAGAAAATGCTTCTGGAAGATTCAACTGTAGGCAAGCAAGCCTAGATGGTATTCTTTAAATCAATGCTTGATAGAGGAGGGCCCACCCCATTGTGCTTAGAGACACACCTGGCATGGTAGTTCCAGGTTATATAAGAAAACAGGCTAAGCAAATAATGAGGAACAAGCCAGCAAACAGCACTCTTGCACAGCCTCTGCCTCAGCTTTTGCCTCTAGGTTCCTATTCTGCTTGAGTACCTGCCCTGACTTCCACCGTGATGAATAGTGATGGAAAGGTACTCACCCTAAGAGGAAGTTGCTATATTCCAGATGTTGGCCTACCTGCCTATCGCTGCCTGCCTGAAACAGAGGCAACAGCCTCCTTCTTGATTATGCCCCGCACTACAGCCTTGTGTACAGCATTCTCCCATCAGTTTGGTCAGCTTCAGGGATGCTCATGCAGTCTAAGATGAAGTCTAGCAGGGTGGTGGTGGCACACGCCTTTAATCTCAGCACCTGGGAGGCAGAGGCAGGTGGGTTTCTGAGTTCGAGTCCAGCCTGGTCTACAGAGTGAGTTCCAGGACAGCCAGGGCTACACAGAGAAGCCCTGTCTTGAGGGGGGTAGGGTGGGGGGAAGATGAAGTCTAAAGGTATCATGGGCCCAAGGCCCAGCCTGTTCTCCAGGTTTTCCTCACTGGTTTTGTTATGCTAGACAAACAAACAAATACTACAGACATTTGGGGCTAAAAGAAATGTGAGGGAGCCATCTAAATGGCTTAGCAGTGAAGGTGCCTGTTGCCAGGCCTGAGGACCTGAGTTTGCTATCTGGGATCCCCATGTTAGAGGGAGAGAAACGACGCCCACAAGTTGTCCTCTGACCTCCCTATTTTTGCTAAGACACCACACACACACAAACACGTGACCTGCACACAGACACAATAGATGTTAAAAACAAAAGAGTGTTGAGAGTTACAACGGAGAAGCAGGGACAGTAGAGATAAGAAATGAAAGGCTCCAAAGCCGGGTATGAGATAGACAAGTTGACCAGATAAAGACTCTGAGAACAAAATCAGTATAGATAAGCCAGTTGATTCCTCCCAAAACTCCCTGACTTGGGGAATATATACAGGGTACTTGATGCCCCTTTCCATACTGTTTCTGATGCAGCTAATTATAACTGATCAAACTGTAATTAAGAATGTCTTCTAGCAAGAGGTTTCCATCTATTCCAGAAACAACACCCCAGATCACCTCATAGACTTGAGGTAGCTAGGAGCAACTAAAGCTATGTCTTGGTAGGTGGGATAAGAGTTCATTCTCTATAGATACTGAAAGGGAGGACCCGTGATGAAGAGAGACTGGTCATATAAGCACAGGAACACACAGAATACAGTCTCAAATCTAGCAGACCCAGCCAAGGGCAGAGGCTCATAAGATCTTCATGGCAGGCAACTAGCAAGGCTAGCTAGGGCCAGTGGATGTGCAAATATTAGAACATAGACTTCTTTGGGCCCACTCCCCTAGCTGGCAAGCAATGTATATGTGGCATATGGGCATGTGGATGGTTGATCCACAGGAAGATGCTCAGAGAACTGTTCAATCGCAGAAGAATCTACTTCTGTCTTTGTTTTCCACCAGAAGTCCTAGAAAAAGCTACTAGACAAATGGCCCAGTGTTCTTCTTTATCTTGAGGCTCCCTCTGGAGTTTTGTCTTCTGGAGCTCTGCTTTCTGCCATAAATCTTAGAAAAAAATATTTTTAAGTCTTTTAAAAATCTGTATGGGTATTTCACCTACATGTGTACCCTTTGTGTGTGTGTGTGTGTGTGTGTGTGTGTGTGTGTGTGATGCCCATAGAGATCCGAAGAAGGCACTAGATCCTTTGGAACTGAAGTGACAGATGCTTGTGAACTACCATATGGGTGCTGAGACCTGAACCCAGGCCTATCTGGAAAAGCAGCCAGTGCTCTTAATCACCGAACCATCTCTCTAGACCTTCTTTGCAAATCTTTAAGTTTTCATCTTTAAAGCTTTTTTTTTCTTTTATGTTTTGTTAAAGGCTTACTATGTGTATTTATGTTTTTCTGTGTGGGCTATGTGTGTGTGAGTGTAGCTACATGCAGAAACCTGAAGAGGCCGTTGGATTGTGGAGCGGGAGTTAGAGGCAATCATTAGCCATCCTACCCTATGGTCCTCTATAAGAGTGGGATGCTTTAACCACAGTTCCTGAGATTTCTTTCTATAATAACACCTTTCCAAAAGTAGCCTTTGTCTGTGGATTTCATTTTTTGAGTACCTGAGACAAGGAACTGGAGCTAACTCCTGTGTTATACACACCTGAGGTGACAAAGTCTGGCCTTGTTCTCATGTGCCCGTTTCTCCTTTTCGGACTTAGGGAATCCAGGTTCCCCATTACAGATCTCCTTCCTTAGATGCCTGTTGGAGTCTTCACTTTTCCCTCAGGAAGATGATTCCCTTTTAGGATGGCTAGACCATCTAGGGCAATGATTCTCAACCTGTGGGTCTTGATTCCTCTGGGGGTTAAATATCAGATACCCTACAGTATATCAGATCGTCACATTATTATTCATAGCAGTAGCAAGATTATAGTTGTGAGGTAGTCGTGAAATCATTTTTTGGTTGGGGGGTCACCACAACATGAGGAACTGTATTAAAGGGTTGCAGTACCGGGAAAGTTGAGAACCACTGGTTTAGGACAAGTAGGCCTTGCAGGAAGTGGCTAGGAAGCCTAAACGGAGAGATGAGGTGACTAGGCCATGGCCTGGTGGACACTAGGTTGGGTTTATGCTCTGGTCTGTCTTCTCTGATGGTTTGGAGAGAAATCTCTGAGCATGTCTGTGAGGGGCTTTCTAGATTAGGTTAACTGAAATAGGACCAATCCTAACTGGTCTGACCAAAACCAAAAGAACGACAAAAACAATTGAATATCGGCATCCATCACTCTCTGCTTTCTGACTGTGAGTGGGACGCTGATAGAGGAAGGGTTATCTCCTGGTGATGTGGTTCTCTTGCCACAATCTATTGTTTCTCCTCAAACCGGAAGCCAGAACTGTAGCCCTTTCTCCTTCAAGTTGCTTCTGGTCAGGTACATTGTTACAGTGACTGGACAAGTAAATACATCCTTATTGCTGGGAAAGTCAGAAGGAGGGTCAGCTTTGAGGAACTTCCACTCAGGCTCCTCTTGTGCCTACCTTGATTGCCCCAACCAGCCTGGCTCAATTCTGAAATGGTGACAGTTGTCATTGGCTCTCCTGACCACTGAACTTTAACTAGGGTTCATTTTAAAATCCAGAGTAAGAATAGTGAGGGTTAGGCATAAAAGGGATACACCCTTTTGCTTTGTGGTCCTTCATTTATTTCTGGACCTTTTGGCTCATAAGTTTGACAATTATCAATTGATAATGTCATTATTTCTGGTTAGCCCCAAACTGTGCCCTCTAGTTCGTGAGTGGGGGAGATTTCTGGGTTCCAGGTCCTGGTGCAGATTTGATCCCAATTTCCAGGAGTTACTGTAGAGTAAAGAGAGTTGGACAAATACTGTCCGACTTCTCATGTAAAATCTATTTAAAGGGAAATATCTTTTCCAGGATGTGTTTATTGATGGAAGACTCTGCTAGAAAGCTGACAAAGGGAGAGAGGAGAAAAGCCTGGCTGCAGAGTTTACAGCTCTCCCTGACCTGTCACCACCCAGGATCCTCCTGCGCCTTCTTTGCTTTCTCTGCCAGCCTCCTTTGCTCTTCTTCCTCATCCTCTTTGGCCAACAGCATTGCCAGGAGTTTCGGGTCTTGCATCTTGCCAGCCTGGTCTGGGGCAAGTAGAATATACCTTCGAAGCTTTCTGGTTTTGAATTGTCTCCTCTGAAGACACAGGTCAACGAGAGTTAAAAATGCAGCAAGTGCCGTGAAGATCTAGGAAAACAAATGGTTGTTCATTATTTGGGGTTTGTACCTAGAAGGAAGGCACAGATGTCCTCCCTTGTCTTTTTTCAGAGATCATGCACAGTGTACCCCTCAAACTTCCTGACCCTGGACCCTAGGTGTACCCCTTCCACCAGTTTCATGCCAGTGGCCCATCTTTTTTCTTTTCTTTTGACATACATGAAGGTCACAGGTAACTTGGCTAAGTTTCTACACACCACCTTTAGAAAAATGTGTCTTCATCATTACAAACATTTACAGCTGGGCGGTGGTGGCACACGCCTTTAATCCCAGCACTTGGGAGGCAGAGGCAGGTGGGTTTCTGAGTTCGAGGCCAGCCTGGTCTACAGAGTGAGTTCCAGGACAGCCAGGACTACACAGAGAAACCCTGTCTCAAAAAACCAAAAAAAAAAAAAAAAAATTGCTAGCTTCTTCAGTTTGCTATGCCTCCAAGTTTTATTTATTTGTTCGCTTCAGACATGGTCTCATATACTCCAGGCTGGCCTTGAACTCGCTTTTGAACCAAGGATGGCTTTGAACTTCTGGTCCTCTGTTTCTACCTCCTGAGTGCCAACATTGTAGATAGGCATGGGGCACTACAGTAGGTTTTTGTGGTGTCATAGATCAAGCATGGTAAGCATTCTACAGGATGAGTTCCCTCCCAGCTTGATGCTAGGATTTGCTTGACAGTGATTTGAGGAAAGCCACAGTGCAGCAGAAAACACCTTACCATAGCAGTTAAGTAGGCCTCTGGATATTCTCGTCTTGCTGAAAGAGCAAAGACTACACCATATATGAGGAAGCAGGTACTGAACAGGTCATTCATGAGATCCTGAAAGTGGGAGAGAGAAGCTGGTCTCAGATGGCTGTGCCCATCCACCCTGGAAGCAGCACTGTCCCCTCCGTGGAGCCATTTTCAAATGCCTCTGATCATTTAACATCAAATATAGAAAGGCAAATATGCTTCTGACCAGGCAGATCAACCAGTGACTCCCTGCTGGCCTCTATGAGTAGAGCACAAAGTCTAAACTTACCTGGCAGAGCCCTCAGGAGACAGGAGACACCATCTACATAATCAGGTATCTGGTGCCCATCAATAATCATGCAAATAAATGCATAGCAGGTCACTTCCTGGCATCTCTGTTAGGTTCCTCCCCTCATCATTTCTGTCCTCTCCTCTCAGGGCTTTTATAAGCAGGATTGCTGGCAGGAGGTTCTTTCACTCTGACTTAACACTGGGAGCCTTGCAGCTCCATCTTTATCCCAACCCCTGCCTCACCCCTGGACCACCTTCCCAGATGGCTTGTTCCTCCATCAACTGCTTTTCTTTTCATTCTTCCCCCCCAAAAAAGATGGGGTTTCTCTGTGTAACCCTGGCTGTCCTGGAACTTACTCTGTAGACCAGGCTGGCCTTGAACTCAGAAATCTGCCTGCCTCTGCCTCCCAAGTACTGGGATTAAAGGCATGTGCCACCACTGCCTGGCTTTTTTCTTTGCATTCCTTGGGGATTTACTCCTCCCTTACCACATACAACCTTGCTTCTCCCAACACAGAATGTGTGGGTGATGATAAAATAATAAAGAGAATAAAAAACAAAACAAACCCCACAAATTTCTATGTATTTGTACCCATTGTCCCGTTTTCTATAACTTATTTTTTTTTCCTAAGGACATCTAAGTTTTAATTTGTTTTTAATTTTAGTGGGATGTGCAGTCTCCCTGCCAAGGCCTCTATGTACACTCATTGAATATTCTGTCCAACTGTCTTTTAAAAGACAAGAGGTTTTTTTTGTTTTTATTTTATGTGTTTGACTGTGTTGCCTGTATGCATGTAGCCATAACAAATCTGTTCAGTGACCTACGAGGCCAGAAGAGAGCATTGAATTAGATTAGAAGTACAGCACCTTGGAAGCTGACTGGGTGCTTGGACCCTAACCCAGCTTCCCTGCAGGAGCAGCCAGTGCTCTACACTCCTTAGCCACGGCTCCAGCTCCTGTCCTAGTCTTCTTTAATGCTGCCTCTGTCATATACAAGTCACAGGATGTAGAGAAGTCAGATTCTCTGATGAACTTTTGCATTAGTCTGCTCAGCTCACCATTATAAAATGCTATAGACTGGGTAGCTCAAACAACAGATGTTTATCTTCTCAGAGTTCTTGGGGTGGGACCACCAAGATCAATGGACCAGGAAATCTAGTTTCTGCTGAGAGTCCTCTCCCTGGCTAGAGACAGCTGCCCTGCCCTCTCTATCTTCACATGACCTTTCATTGGAGAAATGAGAAGGTGGGTGGGGAGCAAGCCAGAGAAGATGCTACTGTCTCTTCTTGTAATGATACTAATAATCGTTTTAGCCCAGGGTCCCAACCTTAAGTTTTCTGTTTTCACTGCTTTCTCAAAGGCTCAGTCTCAGGATATGAGTTCTCAGAGGACACAAACATTCGACTTGTTACAATTCCATTAGTTAATTCCTCAGCTAGTACCAAAGCTTTGTGAGAAATCAGATACCTGATTGAGCAAATCCATTCTTCCAAATTTTATTCTTCCAAAGAATTTTATTTGTAATGTCTTTATTAACTCACATTAGTTATATGTAACTATGGTTTCATTGGACTTTCATACATGTATATAAAGTACTTCAATCATGTTTAAGGCCCTTCTCCCTGTCTGTCACCTTCTCTTTGTGCTTCCCACTCTGGATACTCTGCTCATCCCAATGATCCCTACCTGCTCCTCCTTTCTCTCTCTCTCTCTCTCTCTCTCTCTCTCTCTCTCTCTCTGTGTGTGTATGTGTGTCTGTATGTGTGTGTCTGTATGTGTGTGTTCATGTACGAATGCATGCCTGTGCCCCAGTGAGTTCCACTGTGGTTGTTTTGGGAGCATGGGTGGGGATTTGTATACAGAACAAGGCATCTTACCAGTGGCTACACACTGAGGAAAATGTCTGTTCTTTCTGCAGCAATCCTGTGACTACATATAAATCTTTTAGGTTGGGACATGAGCCCCTGAACCTTCCATGGGGGTGGGGGGTGTTCCTGGGCCAGATCTTGCATATAGAACCACAGCTGTTGTGAATTCAAGAGTGTAACGGCCTTGTCAGGCTATGCACCAGAGCTCACCCTTTGGCAGTTGTTTCTGCCATCTTTACGGTAATAACTTCACACCTGGGACTGCAGCCTATTTCCCAACGGCCAAGGGTTTTCCCTTGATATCCATTCACCAGATTTCATAATCTTGCCGTGAAGCTGAACTTGTCTTTCAGCAGGTTTATTCTCAGACACCGGGTAGACTCTGAATAGTGTTAAGGTCACATTTTCTCACCGGTCCCTGCCAGCATGCTGGAGCACTGCTGTTCGGGCCCTGGAAACCTTAATCACTCATTCGGATAATTGTGGCTGCATATTCCTCTGTTTTCTCTGAAGAGACTCATGTGACATGGAAGCAGTCCTTGTTTCCCTGTCACGATCTGCACACACCTGGGTTTTCTTGTGACATTATACTCAGATTTCAGTTCCATAAGAGACAGGATCAGCAGGATTTCTAAGCAAAGGCTTCACCAAGAAATGCAATGTTGGGTAGACACCTCTTAATAAGATCAGATGTGTCCTTGATGCTTAGTTTGTTAGAATTTTTTTTTAAGTTATTATTGGGGCTGGAGAGATGGCTCCGTGGTTAAGAGGACTGACTGCTCTGCCAGAAGTCCTGATTTCAATTCCCAACAAACACATGGTGGCTCACAACCATCAGTAATGTGATTCGATGCACTCTTCTAGTGTGTGTCTGAAGATAGCTGCAGTGTACTCATATAAATAAAAAATAAATAAATCTTTTAAAAAAGTTACTATTGATCATTACCAAATAGTTTTCCTGAAACTTATAATATTTTTGTTGTAAATATAATAGAGTAAAAGAAGAATTACTACTACTAGACTTTGAAGACAAAACCCATCTTTACACCACTCACATGGATGATGCTTCTCTGTGATAGGTTGCTCTGATATGCTGCTTGATTTACACCCCTCACATGGATGATGCTTCTCTGTGATAGGTTGCTCTGATGTGCTGCTTGATTTGGTGTGCTAACATTTTATTGAACATTTTCGTTTCTATTTTTATCGTGAGGAAGACTTATATTTATTTTTTTAACATCTGCTTTCAAGGTGGACTCCCTATCACACAGGATATTATATAACCTTTAAAAAGAGAGAAAGAAGAAAAGGAGACCAAGGAAATGGAACAGAAATGGAACAGAAAGACAAGAAGTGAATTTTACACGTGGGATTCTTTAGGCATTTGACGAAAACAACATTTCAAATAAGTGGAGAAAAGATGAATTAACTAACAGAAGGATAGCAGGGTTATGGCGTTGAGAAATGATTTAGTTAATGATCAGGATAGTAAGGCAGAAGCCTTGCTTGTGGGGCACCCCCAAGTCACTCAAACAGATCAAATGACTAAAATGAAGCAAATGATGTTACCAGATTGAGAAAATATGTTTGTGGATAAGTCATCTGTGATGTTCTTGCTCCCAAGTAGCCTAATACTTGCTACCCACCCTTTGCAGACATCCCCCTGCCGGGGTGCTGCTCCCCTGTTGTGATTATCGTACAGGTGCTTCTGCAAATCCAGCAGAGAGAATGAATGCCATCTCCCAGAACCTTCCTGGGACACCAAGCTGCCAACAACCAGCTAAGTTTTATTTTTTAACCCTCACTGTTGGTCTTTGTTTCCTCCTTCATCAGCTTGAGGATTACCTGGGTTTTGTTTGTTTGTTTGTTTACTGTTTTGGTTGAGATAGGGTCTCAAGTCTCCCCGGCTAGCCTCAGAATCCTTGTGTAGATAAGGATGATCTCCCACTTCCCCTTACGAGTGTTAAGATTATAGAAACAGCTGCATCCAGTTCATGCAGTGCTGAGGATCAAATGCACTAATGTGCATGTTAGGCAAGTACTGCACTAACAGCTACACTGTCAGATCCAGTGTCTCAGGCATGTCTTTAATCCCCTGTTCTATTTTATCTTGGCATTTCCTTCATACCAGACACTTGATTTT